TGCGCCACCCAGGCGCCCCTTTTCTGGTTTTTTAAAGACCACTTTTGGGAGTTGCTGTTGGGACCTGGAGTTATATTTTTGACTATACTTAGTGTTGGCAGATCTCTTCTCTTCTCTAGAGCTAGATTGGTTTTCCGGGGAGTTGCAAGTCAGTTTGCAGCTGATAAATAAGGTGGGCCAACACTTGTTTCCTAGAAAGCACATGTGGAGTGAAAGCACCAGCCCACTGAAGAAACCACTTTGGATTCAGTTACTCTGCCGGTGTCACGGGATCTCAAATGTCTGAGAATATTGACACAATAACCATTATTGACACTGTCAGATGAGCCAGAGTCCGTGTGATCTTTACATGTGAATTTCATCCTCCATAATTTCTTTGAGCATGTGAATGTGTGATTTTTATTAGTTCATAGTGTTGTTTATGTCTGGTTGCCTGTGGGCGCTGTAGTTCCTGCGGGTTACTATTTTCCTTACAAGTGGGGTTTCTCCTAGCTTCTTCAAAGATTAGAATAAATGTCTGGTCTTTGTTGTTTCATGAATCTGTATTGTGCATCTTTGTAGAAACCAGCCTTATGTTTATATTTTCATTGAGAATAAGGCTGCTTGCATTTAACTTTCAACCTTCATTCTCCCAGTTAATCATCTATTTGACCCAAGTTTTTTGACCTTTTCCACATTTTCATCAGTCCTGTGGGTGATTGGAGAACGATTTAAGACATTTTCCCTATCCCCCGAAAACACTTTGTGCTCATACACCATGACATTCCTTCATAACTACAAGCTCCTTTTAATTTGTCAAAGTCTTGCATGAATTAAAGAATTGCTTAAATGAAGAGTTTGGATCTTCACTCAACAGAAGTTAGTTACAGTTAGTTAGCTGGTTTACACTAAGATTGGAATCTAGTCAGTGTAATTGCTGGCAGTAGCTACCCAGCCTTTAATTGATTGTTGGCTTAGAGTCAAAACAGGTACTTCTGGTCCATGGTATGATTTCGCTTTTGATCTTCTGGAGTCCCCCTGCCCCCGCTCCACACACATATACATAAAAATCAGTCTTATTTCTTTATGCCTTAAATTTAATTTCTTTCAGGATTTGCACAGAATGCTTTTTCTTTGAAAACTTGTGAAAAAAAATGAGGGGAACTTAATGTTTTCTTCTTTAAAGTATTTTATAGTTATAAGAACAGTATAAAGCCATGGAAATACTTTGACAGTTTAATTCCATTTTCTCCTTTCAGGTTTTTTTTCCTATTAGTTTTAAATCTTAGAGGATTATTAAGCTTAAGCCCTGAGGTGATAAAAAGAATGAGATCTTAGGGGCACCTGGGTGGCTCAGTCGGTTAAGCGTCCAACTCTTATTTGGGCTCAGGTCATGACCACATGGTTCATGGGAGATGCAGTGCCTCATTGAGCTCTGTGCTGAAGTGCAGAGCCTGACTGGGGTTCTCTCTCTCTCTCTCTCTCTCTCTCTCTCTCTCTCTGCCTCTCTCTTTCTCTCTCTGCCCCTCCCCTGCTTACATGCACACTCTCTCACTCTCAAAATAAATAAACATTTAAAAAATCACATATTAAAAAAAAGAATGAAGTCTTAAGCATAAGCAAAGCAAGTTTTTAGGTTAGTTTTTACATAGAGAAAAATCATATCTGTTCTATGTGAAATTCTGTGTAAATTTACTACTAAACAACAAAAAATTAAACCCATATACTTACTGTTGATTTGAAGTAACATTTCTGCCCTATTTAATAATTCATCAGCTTGTCATGGAAGATCTTCACACGTACATATTAAAAATCATGCAGCTTAACTTGATAAAATCCTGAGATGGAAATTTAGAATTGTTGCAGTGTCAGTAACATTGATGTTAGTGTAGTTTTACATGCTGATCTTGACCAATTTGAAACAGTGAATTAAACCTTAACTGATCTGTACTAATCCTAAAGTAATGCTCCATGAACTGTTAAATGTTTCTGGAATATGTAAAGAGCAGTAACAGTAACAGCACACTGCATCTAGTTTTCCTCCAAAATAAAAATTGCCTTTTTTTGATTAAAGAATACATGTTTATTACGAAAAGCATACAATTACAGGAAGTAAAGAAATGAAGAAATGAAGTTACCCTGACTTCCACTACCACTTTTATTTCTAATGTGTTATTTTTTATTTAAAATTTTTTTTAAATGTTCATTTATTTTGAGAGAGCGAGAGAGTGCATGCAAGCGGGGAGGGGGCAGAGAGAGAGGGAGACAGAGAATCCCAAGCAGGCTCCCCACTGACAGCACAGAGCCCGATGCGGGGCTTGAACCCGTGAACTGTGAGATCATGACCTGAGCTGAAATCAAGAGTCGGATACTTAACTGACTGAGCTACCCAGGTGCCCCTATTTCTCACATTTAAAAGAATTTTCTCTCTGAGTATACATGCATACATATCCGAGTTTACACGTAGTCTTTTTTTTTAAACATCACAAACAATAAGATCTTTTGTCACCATCAGATGTCTTAATTTTAAAAATTCTTGGATTGGCGACTCATATCCATCAGCTCGTTCAACTTTAGCGCCAGCCTCATCCCCAGTAGCTTTTCCAGAAGCTTAACCATGAAGCTCCATGAGCTTTCCTGATTCAAACTTAGGCTTCTTCAGCATTTTCACTTTTCTAACGAAGACATCCTGGGATGGATAAATAGACCGACAGGCCTTTTCTGTGTGTTTTCCAGTGCTGTCTGGAATCAATTTGTTGACGACTTCTTTCAAGTCGCTTGTCTGCACCTCTCGGGTCATGATCTCCATCATCTTTTTCTGAATTGGGTGGACCTGTTGGTGCTGAGCGTGAGAGGTCTTCTGAATCTGATTGTTGCTTTTGTTAGTAAAACCAACACAAAATAGATGAGGCCAGTAACCATTGCTAGTCTTGGCGTCAACATGAGATTCAGTCCTGGTCTGCCATTTTTTGACCATGGAGCACAGTTTGTCATGGGTAAGATCCGTGCCGTGGAAATTAGGCAGTTTTTGCCCTGGAAATCTTCAGTAATTAGCTTGCATTTTCTAAATGCAACTTCATCATTCTGCAGATCAGCAAGGGTCACTTCAAAAATACAACCCTTGAGGCCATCATATGCGATTTTGGTTCCTTGAGTTCTTGTGACTAGTGTTTTTCCAATATTTGTTATATTGAACATAGCTGGTGCTTTCATATCATACCAGTCTTTCCTAGAAAATGGATCAACAACTTTCTTCTTGGCTCCCTTTTTGCCGACTTTTGTAAGGCACTTGTTCTTGCCAGCCACCATGGCACTGCTCAGGGAGCCAAAAGGGCATAGTTTACATACTCTTAGAGTAGCTAGGTAGGATTTTATTTGCTTAGTGCCTCGATGGGAAATTGCCTGGGGATTCCAAATACCATATTTCATTAAATGTAAGGTGTCACTGATGTTAACGTACCCCTGTTTTTTGTACTGCTACAAAAGAAGACACTGTCAGTTATATTGTAAGTTGCCATCAGTTGTAATACATCAATTTCAAGGGTATTAAAATGTGAGTGTGCAGCTTAGAACAATGAAATGTAGTACTGTATATTCAAAGACCTTTTCTATCCTTAAGGCTCTGTGATAATTCAGAAGAATGGAATAATTGATAAATATGCAAATGTGTTTTCTTTCTTATAAGTTTAATTTCATAGTAATTTTTTAAATAATTTTTTTCATCATAAAAAGATGAAGCCTCTGGGTGGCTCAGTTGGTTAAGTGTCCAACTTCGGCTCAGGTCATGATCTCGTGGTTCACGGGTTAGAGCCCCACGTTGGGCTCTGTGCTGACAGCTCGGAGCCTGGAGCCTGCTTCCAATTCTGTGTCTCCCTGTCTCTCTGACCCTCCCCCCATTCATGCTCTGTCTCTCTCTGTCTCAAAAATAAATAAACGTTAAAAAAAAATTAAAAAAAAAAAGATGAAGCCTCGGGGAAAAATTGTCAGGTAAATTTTTTGTGGTAATATTTTTGTGTGGGTCTTAAACAAAGGGAAAATTAACCTGATTTATCGTGTCCAGACAAAGTGGCTTACGTTAAAATGAAACTGTTCTTACGATTTGAAATCTTGGAGAAAATTTTTTGGGTTCTGAATTATTATCTCCATGTACATTTGAGAACAGGGAGGTGCAGGGGGATGAAATGACTTGCCCAAGATCATACAGGTTTTTTTGAATTGAACCCGCACCTTTAATTGTGCAGAACCGAGTCTCGTTTGGGAAAACTTGTAACTGACTTG